GAAATCCATGGTATGCTGCCAACCATGCAGTATATGCACAGGTGGAAGCCGAATCTGTATACCACTGACAGATGCCAAGTGTGCCTTACCATGGTGGAGGACACCCCAGGACCTCTGGGTCTGCAGAGCCACACAGGAAAGACGACAGAAAGAATGGGGAGAGACAATTGATCGGGATTCTAAGCCTTGGACGCACCTTGGTGGATAAGGCGAAGAAAAAGTGGTTGCGCGACATGGAGGAGGCAATCAAGGATGGTCGACATTTCACACGCACCGAACCGAGTTTTACCCCGTGCGAGCTAGACACCCTTTGGTGGAGTCTGCGTGAGGTCCGGGGAGTAGAAACGATGGTGAATACGCGGGATGATGACTGGATAAGGCTGCTGGAGGAGAGGCGAGACAGGGAGAATGGTGACGAGGACAGAGAGAATATCCACGAGGAGGAAGGAGAAGGAGTGGACAGTCAAGAAAACGTACAGCAGGCAGCACCACCTACCAGGCTCTGGACAACGACGGACATATGTCATGGACTCGTACCAAAGTCCCTGACAACGGATTGGGCACTGCTCTTGAAGACGTCGAAGAGTATTGCGGCCTACCTGGTTGAACGTTTTGTAGAACGAGTTGAGGCTTTTGGCCGAGAGGAACTATGGAAGGAGCGATGTAATGTCACAGTGGCATGGGAAAAGTCCGAGGGCATATGCGCGAGGATGAAGAAAGCCGGGGCCCAATTAGGATCTGGCGTCAATAAAAAAAAAGTGCTATCCGAGTACATCTGTCATGCATTCCGTCTCGTTTTTCTGATGCACTCGTCTTTTTCTCCCCTGTACATTTTTTTCCTTCTAAAATTAATAAAGCTCATCAGATATCACAGCGAACAAGAGTTAATGGATGTTGTTAGATATGCAGCTCTTGAACAATGGTTTTATGATTTGGTATACATTGCTGTTATACTAGTTTCTGATCTAGATAAATAAAGAGTTTAGTTGCCTTTGTACCCGCGAGCGGGGAAAGGGAGAACCATCAGGAATGAATTACGGAGGTTGAGATGATAGTGACAATGGCAATGAAGATCGGAAAGGTGAAAAAGGGTAAGAGAAGAAGAAAAAAGATTGCATTTAATTAATGGGCCTATAGAGCCCGAGTATGCCAAGGTCAAAGATCTCGAAATCCTCGGGGTAGTTGCCCTTAGTGAGCTTCTTCTGAGAGGCAACGACGATACGGTAGTAGCGAGCATTGCCCGCCGCAACATCGGACATAGGAGGAAGTTGGATAGGGGCCAAGGTCGTGTCCTCTGCAGGGAGGACCAGTCCGTCCCAAGTATACTGATTAACGTCCAACTGACCAGTGGTGCTATCGACGTTCTTGTTTCTGCCGGCGGCACCAAAGGCAGGGCCGCCATCCTTGGAGGTCATAAATCCGACAAAACCGCCTGTTTCATTAAAGATGCGGATGGTGGCATCGGGAGAGTGCGAACCAAGGCGGGTCAAGACAACGGGCTTGGCGTACTTCAAGTTGTATAACGTGCCCGGCCTGGTATTGTTCAAATGGCCGGTGGTCACGTTGAACCGCTTCAACATGGGGAAGCCGAGACTGGTATCCTGGATTGGCACGTTGCGGATATCGCCTTTGATACCAGTGTATGGAATATGAACAGCAACACTACCCTCGGAGCTAGGGGTAGCAACGATGAAACCAGAGTACAAGGGCCATTCAGCAGCCTTGCCGTTCTTGGGCTCTGTGAACTTCAAGGTGACCTTGACAGACTCACCAGGGTTGAGCGTAACGGTGCATGGGTCGAACTTGACGGTGGCATAGTCAGCCTCAATGATGGGAGTAGCGAGTGGGAAGGAGTTGTTGGCGTTGTACGAGTTCAAGGCATCAGCGGGGACGTGCGTGAAAGTATAGGTCGCAGCGTCAAAGCCAGTATTCTTGATCTGGATCTTGACCCGCCTTTGGAAGTTGACAGTATCGAGGAGATCAATATGGTCGGGCCAGAGCTCGACCGGGGTTCGGGTAGCTTTATAGACATTGATCAAACCAGCACCTTGCTTGGCAGCAGAGGCAAAGGTTTCGGAATTGTAGTTCTTGGAGATCGTGGCAGTGTTCTTGAAGGCCTTGCGAATCCTATCACCATGGGACTTGACCTTCATAACCTCCATGTACAAAGCATGGGCACCAGCAACGTAGGCTGAGGCCATGGACGTGCCAGAGAGAACAGCATAACCACCCTGAGCGAGAGGGTAGGTCGAGAGGATGTTGCTACCAGGAGCAGCAACATCGGGCTTGGAGCGGAGATCACCGTCCAATCCGAAGGAAGAGAAGGACGAGGGTGATCCCCAGCTGCCAATGGAGAAGGGTTGCTGGTCATTGGACCAGGTCACAACGGCCTCAGGGTCGGCTATCCAAGCTAAGAGCAGCTGGGTACCAGCATCAAAGTCGACCGACGCCATGGGCAGGTTGGGGACACCTTCCAAAGAGTCGATACCAGGACCGCTGGATTGGATGATCATACCAGCAGCGCCTTTGGTAGCAGCCAGAGCACCACGTTTATCAGACTTGCAGCGGGTGATGTCGCCAAGAACCAAGACGATCTTGCCCCTAACATCGACACCGTTGTAGAGAGACTTGTCGCATCCGTCGCTCAATGCACCGTTGGAGAGCAAGGGAACGATGGTGGCAGAGGCGGGCAGATTAATGGCCTCGCCGTAGGCGTCAGAGAATTTGTAGGGGAAGACATAGTACGTTTGGGTGAGGTAGTAGAACGATTCGGGTTGACTGTCGAACGACGCGACCGAGGTAGCATGGTCGCCGAGACCAGTGCCAGAGACCATCCAGGCGCCATCAGAACCATCGTTACCAGCAGGGCCCGTCAAAGCTTTGCCGCGGATGAGCAACTTCTCAGCAAGCACAGATATGGGGTTGGTCTTGTAGGAGGAGCCGCCGGCGATAGACATGTTGATGACCTAAATGTTCAAGAATACCGTATTGACCAAAGTAGATGAGTGGCCATTCTTCTTTTCCTCATCCCACATGTCTGTGTGATTGTAATTAATAGCTCCATCACTTACATCCATGCCGTCGTTGAAGGCCATCTCCATGGCGGCAAGGATAACATCTTCGCCAGCTTGGCCCTTGCATCCAAAGATACGGTAGGCGCCCAAAACAGCCTCGGGGGCGACACCGACAAAGGGCACTGGAGGTTCAGGTGAGGTCATGATGTTCAGGGCATCTCCACCAATGATACCAGCGACGTGAGTACCGTGTCCTTGGCAGTCCATGGGATCACTGTCGGGGTTGGGAGTGTTGGATCCAGTGTAGTCATCACCGACAAAGTCCCAACCATATCTGACACGGCATTTCTTGTTATTGAGAGCGAAGCATCCAGCAGCAGCATTGCCACAAGCGAATGCAGGGTGCTTATAGTCGATACCTGTATCGATGACACCGATCTTGACGCCCTTTCCAGTAAACCGGTGCCTGATGTTGTGCAAGGTATCGACACCAGTCATGATGTGACTCCAGGTCGCAGAGTCATAATCAGTATCCGTGCTGGGGCTCTCGACTTTGGGCATGTCGTAGAGCGAGATGTGCCAGACATTCTTGACTCCAGGAATCATGGAGAGAGCGCGGCCATCATGCTGGGAATCGACAGTGATGGCGGCTCCGTTGAAGACGTTGTACTCGTTGCGGACCTTGTAGTTGACCTTGTGGGACTTGAGGGCGTCATGAGCATCCGAGTGCTTGATGCCATCGTGGTATTCGATAATGAAGCCGTTGTTGATGATGTTAGTCTTGCCAGGATTGAGAGAGTGGAACTTGCCGGCTGAGACAAGGGTGGCCGCAGCAAGGGCGGAGAGGATGGCGGCGATCTTCATAGTGAGAGATAGGGACGAGTGTCTGTAGAAGACTGTGAGGGGTAATTAGCGAGGTGGGAGAGGGGAGGGGAGGGGAGGGGAGGGGAGGAGTTTAGAAGGATGACGCGGTAGCGAAAGGGCTACGGTATGATGTAGGGTGGTGAGGTCGAAGATGGCTAAAGAAGGAGTCGGTTTCCAGGAGATGGCAGCAGATATAAATACCATCCTGCCTATCGTCCGCTCCAGCTGGTTCCTGTGTGGGTAGGATATTAATGGCAAGAATGGCCGCTGTTTCTCCGCGGATGTCCGTTCAAAGTCGACTGGACCGCGTGCTGAAATGCACACATTCGCCAGGTGCCATTGATGTGTACCCTCGTACTTGTGGGGTTTGTTACCGGGAAGGATTGTCCTCTAAATAGATGGATACATTTGCCTCATTGGTCTCGGGGACCATAGATACTTGTTTGTCAGCCCAGCTGTATTTTAACCTCCTCTGCCGTCTGTCTTTAGGTCCTGTTCATGTTATTCTCCCAATATAGGACCTGTCGATGGCCTAGGTTTCCCAAATTTGGTCTGCACAGGTGCGTAGGCGCTGTCTAGAACGAGATCTTCTTAAATGTAAGGTTGATGAAAATAAACCCCCCGGTTCTAGACCTACCAAACAAGTGGGAGGAGCCCATGTTCTTTCTTGCAAAATTAATAGCCCAGAATTCTTACATTTTGATTCTCGACTTTTATTGGTTATTATTCTGAGTGGTTGTATAAGGATCGACAAGGTGGCGCTAAGAAAAGAGAGGCTTTCCTGACTCTTATTAACCTTAATCCATAAAAATTAAGAGGCAGTCTTATCGTCCCAGTATGCTGGATACCATTATTTTGCGCCAGATGATATTTGCCTTCATCCGCAGACCTGTGATTTCTTTGATGCAAACGATAGTGTCCGGAGAGAGTCGATCTAGGGAGAAAGAAGGACTTTATTCGTGTGAACACTGCTATCTAGTTCTACGTGTAGATAGGGTTTATATGCTGGCTGGGTCGATGCCAACAGTGTTCTGGAATGTTGTAGGAGATGGGCGAAGCACCGAAGACATCACAGCGTACTGGCGCAGGCATGCAGGGAAGAGCATACAGTAAGGGCACCATTTATAGAGGCCAGGTGTTCATGGCAGCAGGACCAACTCTCGAGCCCAACTCTTGATGGCGACTAAAGTTTGTCTTTGCAGGAGAGTCCAAAAATAATGTAGTACAGCTGTTGGCACGGATCAAGACAACCAAACAAACAGCAAATCTCGCTGCAACGTAGGTTGGCACTCCCGATGACTACGATTAGAGCGAAGCAGGGTGTCGTTGACAGAAATCCAGATTACGATTGGCATTGCATTGATCGCCCAGCACGGATCATTATTCGATACGTGCCAGTTACAACGCTCTGCTGTCGCGTTCTGAAAAAATCGTGGATGTTGCTCATCCGGAACGAACTCCCGCAAGGCTCAAAAAAGACAAAAAAAAAAGTTGCTAGAGATGCCCACTTTCACCACGCATGCAAGCAGCTAAACCTTCTAGGACCCCGTAACCCTCTCGTAGCCTCCGCAAAAAAAAAAAGACGATAAGAAATAGAGTTGTTAGAGACGCTCACTTTGACTATGTATGCAAGTAGCAAAGCCTGCCACTCACATTCAGAATCACATCCAAAATCGTCCTGTATCATGCACACTCTCAACATGCCTCGAGGACCGATGTGCAAAGACTACAAGAACTGCTCCCTTCCTACAGAGAAACAGACCGCCGATCACAAGCTACGCTCTCATGCCACCCCAAAGATCTCATTTATGAACCCTTCTCTCCACATCAACCATGATGTGGAGAGAGACCCCACGTATGATATGTATTATGTGTGCACCAGCGATGAATGTCCCTACAAGTCAATCTTCTCTTCAAACCCACGATCGCACTTTCATGAGTGCAAATTCGTCCTACAGGTTCACCAGCGAAAATACCCTTGGTTATTCAAAAGTTCTTCCGATCCTTCAGGTCTTTCTGGTTCCTCACGTTGCTACACGCGCATAAAACCAATTGGCAACACCACTACAGACACAGCAGCAGCAGCTAGTGGAGCAAACGCTAGGTATCGCCCATACGTCCATCCTAGCCATCTGCCAGTCACTACCGCCGCCATCCTTCCACAGAACAACACGCAAGTTGCGGTCCCCTCGGCTTTGAACGAAACGATATCAGAGAACTTGACCGCCATTACCAAGCGACTGCAAGGGATGGACGAGAAGTTCATTCCCTTCGCAAACGATCTGAATCGACGAGTCAAGAGCACGGGGGCATCAGCAATCGCAACAGCCAACATGGTAAAGCATTTGAACAAGAGGGTCATATCATTATCAGAGCGAGTCAAGAGCATACAAAAGATCACCAGTCGACCCTATTACAATGAGGATGCAATGGTGAACATGGTGGAAGATTTGAATGATGTGTCATCCTCTTGCGTTCAGATTTTGAGAAGCATGGGACATAATATGTGCCCCACCAGGAACACAGAGACCAGAGCTTCCAGTCCGCCAGTTTTTCACGCATCATAGGTCTCTTCAACACCCTTCCTGCACTTTCGACATCTTCTAACGCTATTGTACTATTGTTGTGATATGGATGAAGGAGCACCACTCATCATATCAGGTTTATCAGAAGCTAGGTCGGTTTACTCTGCCTGCACTCGAGACACCCCTTCCCTGTCTATCGACTCTCAGAATCTGCCGACTGACAGCGACGAGGAACATGAGATTAAGGCCACCATCATTAAGAACATCATAGGTGAGGTGGCGTGACGAAGACCAGTAAGGCCATTAGGAGGTCGAGTGTGATCATGAACAGTGATATTGTAGGAGTGAGGGTAGTGGGGAGAAGGAGGGGTCCAAAAACAGCAGGAAATAAAGTCCACAATTCCTTGAATTTATGAATAGGCAGTTATGCTAAGTAGCGCATAGCTCGACTTCATGGCTGCGTGATCCCTTCCCCATAAGGATTTCCTTGTTGAATAGGACAGCGTTTCAAATGAACTGAGTGCTCCATGACGCCCAATGTGCTGCGCCTAATTCCGCTTAGGTTTTTTTTTTTTTTTTTTTTTTTTTTTAGACTTTTATGAACATGAGATACATGGTTCCCGATAGTCCGATAATCTTGAAGCACATTTGAGGTAATATTCTTCGTAGTCTTTTAGTATGTAGATTAGTTCAATAAATTATGCTTACTTGAAATCATACACTGTACACGCTGATATAATCTGGCACTTCTCATCCACACAGCTGGAATTGCATCTCTACACTCCGTCCCAACACACACGTACCGGTTCTTGGCGCACTTGAGGACTATCCATCTATACACAGCAGAACACGAGGATGCCGTCACTAGGCCCCATGAAAACGCGAAGCGCTATTGGGCAAACGCCCATGGGTTGCTCAATCTGCTATTTGCCAAATAGCATGCGAAATGGGACTGTTAAACTAGGGGGGGGCTGTCAAATAAGAGTGGCAGCCTAGGTTGTCAAATAGAAATAACCCCAATGGTAGACGTGCGATTATTCGTCGACCTCTCTGCTATTTGCCGACCCTTACTTCCCTTACTTCTTTGGCTGCATGCGAAAATTATATGTCGCCCGATTGATCCGTCATACCCCTTCTTGTCTGTTTGTCGCCCCGTCAACTAGGCATATGAATCCCTGTCTGCTTGCCGCCTCATCAACTTGTCATATTGTTCCTTGCCTGTTCGTCACCCGGTGCCATCTAAAATGGGCCTTTTTTTTTTTTATCTTACAAATGAACAAAGAAATTCGCCTCACATTGATCCTACATTGACTCCATACTGATCTCCTATATACCAGCTAGAACCAGAACTTTGTGCACGCGAGGTCTTTTTTTTCGATCTAATTGAAGTCTTTAATATGTTGAGGTAGCCTTTTTTCCTTTGTAATTGCGAGCTCTGGGTCTTCATTGGCAAATAGACCCATTTCTCCATCAATGGCTTTGTTCAACATCTTCAGCGCCACCATACACAATCCCGGATCATCTAATGACTGGCTCGCTAAGTTTTTGGCTTTACCCATGATTTCGCCATAAAACCCAGCCTTGGATAGCTTAATCGCACTCGATTGCACCCCCCCTGCTACAATGAATAGATAGGGATCCATATGGCTAGTTAGCAGGGCGACAAACAGACAAGAAGGGGTATGACGGATCAGTCGGGCGACATATAACTTTCGCATGTAGCCAAGGAAGTAAGGGAATCAAGGGTCGGCAAATAGCAGAGAGGTCGACGAGTAATCACACGTCTGCATATGGCAGGGCAGGGGGTCGGCAAATAAGCATTTTCGACCGGTCGGCGAATAATTTGCTTTTTCGTGAGTAAGGATAAACACTGTCGTATGCACGGTATGGGTAATTTAACAACGTTTACAGTGGATTGATTGTTTATGAAGGAAGAAAGGTTCAGTGGGATCTATGTTTATGGCAGGGGGGAAAAGGTATGTGTGCACCTGATCGATTATAGCGGAGTATCTTTGTACCACACGGGCTGAGCTGTCAGCCCGCAAGTAACACCCACCACCACAACAACGACAGCCCACCTCACACTTTGCCACACCTTCATTGCGTCTTTACTTCATCACTTCAAAGAGGGGGGTCCCTTCCTTCGTCCCCTCTTTCCTTTATTCCTTTGTTTTTTCTCTTCTCCCATCTCCTTGCAGGACCCTTTGCTACAGGATCCTTCTTTTCCCTTGATCCCGATCTTTCCTCATCACCACAATGGACCCCACCAGTAATAGTCCTCATTCCAACCACTCAAGCTATCAACGCGTTCCCTCGCTCACCTCCGGTCTCATCAGCGAAGACACTATCATCTCCCCTGGCCCCTCGGAGCCCCTCCGGAGCAACCGCAAGCACTCCCAATACGATGACGATGACCAAGAAGGAAACCCCGTCTCTTCCATGCCCCTCCACGACGAAATTCCCTATGGTCCACAGCCACCGGTCCTTCACACCACGGCCACCTTCACTTTCACACACCCTCTGAAGCCCATCCTCCTCCAACTGCTCACCACCCTCTCAACCATCCTCTTCACGGTCTTGCCTGTGGTCATCAAGGCCGGTCCGGATGCGACTTGGGGACAATGGTACTCCTGGCGTGACGCCTGTCGGCTTTTAGAGCCCTTCTTCAGTGGACTGTTGCACTCTTGGTTCTTTTACTCCTCCGACCTCATGCGGCGATGGCCCTCTTCCTCCTCCTCCTCTTCTTCTCTTTCTCCTTGTACTTCCGCTTCCTACAGTAACAACAGCTACAGCCACTACGCCGACATCCCATTGGCCGATCGCCCTTCTCCCTCCTCCTCCTCTTCTTACGCCCACAACCACAGCCTTTCGCCCGCCACAGCCCCCTCCTCTCCCTCCGGCCGCTCATCCAAGCAGCACTCCCTCTTCTTCAAATCCCTTCTCTCCTCAATTTTCACTTTCTTCCTCATCTTCTACGTCACAGGGGCGGCCCTCCACACGGCCGCTGCATTCTTTAAAAACGTCGTCTCCATCTTCTTGGATTTACACTCCCAAGGCATCGGTCTCTCGACCCACGCACCCACTGCTGGTGATGGCCTCCTCTCTCTAAAGCTCGCTCAGGAGCTTAAACAGGGGTATTTGTTGATTCAGGATGTTTGGGAACATAATATTTCCCATTACATGTATGCATTCGGAGCATTGGGCATGTCGTGGTGTGAGATGATTGCTTATTCGGGACAGGTTCTTCCAGCTGGCGTGAACCTTGCCAGGGTGGGACGACCAGGACCTGTCAACACAAAGGACCACCGACACCAAGGGAGGAGGGAGGAGGAGCGTGACCCTGAAGCAGTGAATGGGACGATGACCGGTCGTAGCAGTAAACGACTCGTTTTTCTATGGATCCTCGCCGGCGTACTCTACGGAGGCATCGTTGCAGGTAACTAACTACTCAAAAATTTGCTGTCATCATCCTTTAAGTTGCACACAACTGAAAAAAACAAAACAAAAAGGCGCTGCAGTCCAAGTGCCATAGCTATTTTGTCCATCTAACATTTTTCATTTCTTGCTTCATTAGGCGTTGCATGCCAATACCCAAAGGGCTTATACGTTGGGTCCGCATATGTGCTCCTCCTGCTCTTGGTCCTCAGCAGTTATCTTTTCTCCACTCGGAAACGTAGCGGAGGGATCTTCACCCTCGGACGCAACTACATTCTCCAGACCTATCTCATCGGTGGAGTCGTCGCCGCTGTGGCCATCATCATCTACATGGCCATCCACCACTTTGACATGCTCACTAGCAACGACAAATCCCACCTCGGATCCATCACTAGGCCGTAGTATCGAAAACATTGGCCCCTCCCATTCGGTTGATACGACCCAGTTGAACAAAAAATACCCCCCATTTGCATTGAATAAAAGAAAAAGATCGAGAGACACTTTAGCCGTACAATGTTCGATGCTTTTTATGTTCATGCGTTTTTCTTTCCTTTAGAACAAGAGTAAGAGGCTATTTTGAACAAGAGATATTATTATCTTTCTCTTGTCTAGAATAGCCCTTTGCCATGGCCACCGCTTGATCGATGGGGTCGCATCCATGTTCCTGTCTTTTTTCTTCGTTCCTTCCAACGTCCTTGACGCAACAAAAAAAAAAAAAATACGTCAGCGAAGAAAAAAAAAACCGAAAACCTGTCCGCTGTCCAATTGATCCTGTCGGTAGTAATGGCTTTTATCCCTGTTTCTCCTTTGCTTTAAAAGGTTGATCCCTCTGGTGGTTGAGGAAGCTTTCTGTTGTTGGGCGAAGCCATCTCTCTAATATCATTCGATTCGCAAAGGAAAAAAACAGCGTCAATATCCAAGGATTGAAAAAGAAGAATAGGTGCATCATACATGCTTTAGAAGCGATAGAGACATACCGGCGCAGTTCAGTCAATACAGTCTCGAGGCCATAGTTTCTCTTCCAGTTACTTAAGCATGTCAACTTTGAGGGATCCACCTAATAAACGTTTTCAATATCAGGCAAGGCACATGCATATTCATTAATCTCTATGTCTTTCTCTTTCATTTCAGTATAATACATGGCTCCAAAAATAGGACATGATTCCTTCGACCTCAGCCAGACATGACTTCTCAGGTGCAAGAAATTGTTCGAAACTTACACGTCCGGATGTCTGGTTCACGCAGGGGAGGTTGACGCGCGACACAAATGATACCGTCGGGGGCACATCCGGATAGCTGTCACCGCAATGAATCCTCAGACTATAAATCCTGTTCTCATGGACAGTCTACACAACATTGCAAATGAACAGCATAAAGCAGCGAAAAAGGGCGTGAGTCTTAAGCACGCTATCAAATCAGGAAAAGATGAGATGGAGAATAATATCTACAGCAAAAAAGAAAAGATGAAAAGAAAGAAAAAAAGAACAGTAGAAAACATGAGCAATGCACGATACAATTGACATACGCCGCCCCCTTTGTTCCTAAACCAAAAAAACATCGCCTTCCCGCTTCGATCTTCCTTCTTGACTCAACCGCCCCATGATCAACGTATAATGAAAAAAATGCCCCAATCCAGGTGGCATTCATAACACCCAAATACAGTAAACCAAAACCAAAACAAAAAAAGAAAAGAAAAGGGAGAGAAGAGTCCCTTCCGCTGCAAAGACTCATTTGATAGCAAATGAACCAAATAGAGCACGACCAAAAAAAAAAAGAAAGAAAGCAAACATACGTGTCCAGGTCCAAGGATCGTTCCGTTCCAGTTTGACATCAGAATATCATCGCCGTCCGAGAGTCCGTAGCTGCAGGTGCCGTCGCCAATACCCTTCTCGCCCTTCTCGAGCTCGTCCATCAATTTGAAGTTGCGGGGAACTACACATCATGGGGCGTGGCGCAAAAACAACGCGGCGGAGCGAGTAAAAAAAAAAAAAAAAAAAAAAAAACAAAGAGACGCAGTGAAGAAAAAAAAAAAAAGAGAGATAAAAGGTCAGTATATCAGACACTTCTCATAAAAACTGTGTGATTTTATTTTTTTTGTTCCAGCACGTTGTTTTTTTGGTGGCGAGCCCGTAAGGGCCATTGGTGGGGAGGGGAGAACAATCGACCCATTCCACGGCGGCATGGTGAATCCATCGTCTACATCCCACACGACCCTGTATGGGCAGCTAGCTGGCTGTATTATTATTTATCCCTGCAGAAACAACCATCACTGCCCGCGACTATCGATGAATAAGCTGTCTGTAAAGTCGCCCGCGAAGTGCTTGAGAGGATGTGGACAAATCTTCCCGAGGCGGCGCGTTTTTTTTGCTTTTTTTATCTCGGGGGGCACAGTGGGGTTTCTTCTTTTTTTTTGCTCTCCTTTTGGTGGCGCGAGGGGGGTGTCGAAGTTAGGTCCCAAGGTCGAGAGAAAGAGAGAGAGAGAGCAGTGTCAGCCAACTTACTTTTCGCCATGGTTTCGTGATTGAGTTATGTATAAAAGAAAAGTGAAGCGGAAGAATGGAGGAGTAGGAATGAAAGAAGGGTGTGTAGGATTGACTGAAAGAGAGAGAGGGAAAAAGCGCGATTAGTTCGGTCAGGGCAAGCGGAAAAGAAATCAAAAAAAAAAAAAAATTGTGGGTCTGCTGCTTAGTGCTGGGCAATGACGTGAGAGCGAGAATGAGCACCTCCTCCACCCATGTATGTAAACATACACAAACAGGCACACAAACAACACGCGAATGAATCGATACCACCCACAAGGTTGTATTTAGGTGGATGTAAATGTTCATTTTATTTTTGCTTGCTTGTGTGCGTGTGAATGAATGTATGCGGGTGTTTGTTATGTTGTTGTAGGTATGAATGTACGCAACACCGGCTACCATTTGTAGCCCCATCCTTCGATACCGTCTCCACCAGCACTGGCGCCCTAGCTCCTGGCAAGGTCCACAAGCAGTGACTCGACCTCGGGCACGTCAGCAAGGTAGAACTTGGCCTCCGTCTGCTTCTGTCCCACAGTGCACGTAATCACCTCCTGCGCATCAGGACCCACAATACTCTCGTTACTCAGGCACGAGAACACGGCCTCATCCGTCTTGCCATCTCCAACACACAGGATAAAGTCAACCGGGCCCACATCCGCCTGGATGTCCTTCAGGATCGCCTTCACACTTGTTGACTTGTCAATACTGCTCGGGCGCAGTTCCAGTGTCTTGTTGCCCAGAATAATCGACAGCGCCATATGGGCCAGTAGCTTCTCCAAGTTCACCTGCAACTCTGTGGCCTGCCATGTACCAAACTCAGGATCTGCCTCGCGGTAGTGCCACGTCATGTTAATTTCCTTCTCTTCAATGAAACTACCGGGCGTACGCTCAGTGTAGTGCTTGAACAACGGGCGGATCGTCTCGCGCCAGCTCGAATCCACCTGGTCGACTGATCGGAACCAGCCGTTGCCTGCATCCTTGACCAGCTTCACTGGCTCCTGAGCGTCCGAGGCTGGCATTTCCGAACGGATCTGCTTCATCGCCTTAGCCACGCTGGCAGGGTGCTTGTAGAAGCATCCGTGCTCAGCCGACATTCCAACACCACAGTTGCCAAACCACGAATCCAGATGCTTTCGATCGCGACCAGAAAGGATGTATACATATGTGTTCGGCTGTGCTGCAAGTGCCTGCAGGTTGTGGATGATGTGGCTCGCAGGGTTGGCTATTATACATGAGAAGAAAAGAAGGTAAAAAAAAAAAAAAAAAAAGGATAATGAGTAAACTGATGTCCCACTCAATGATGCCTTAAATGCTCGTAATCCATACAACATCAAGCTGATTACATACCAAACTCTGGCAACTTGTGCGTAGCGGTTAAGGTGCCGTCATAATCGAAAAAGATGACCTTGGCCTTGGTCGAATGGCTGCGTGCTTCGAGGACGTGCTGAATGGTCAGCTTGGGCAGGGCCATGCGATGGTCAAACTCCTCAGAGACCCTTCTGAGCTCGTTCACAAAGCTCAGGCCCCAGTATGCTGCCGTGTACTTTGTCACGTATCTGAACAGCTTCTGGTGGTTGCTCTTTCTCGTATCCTCAGGCATGGTCACGGCTTCGTAGATCGCATCAGCCAGCTCGCCCGTATTCCAAGGGTTCACAATGATTGATCCTGAACGAAATAAACATATAATAGGAATGATAATGATAAGCAGCTAGAACTTTCGCTTGTATTATTACAAACAATCTTTTGCAATGGGTTGAATGACTTACCGTTCAAACTCTGAGCAGCTCCAGCAAACTCACTGAGGATCATGACACCGTGGTTCTCCTGTTGACAGCAAATGTACTCGTAACTGACCAAGTTCATTCCATCGCGCGTACTTGAAATCAAGCACACGTCCGAGACAGCATATAGTGCCACCAACTCTTCAAAGTTCACGGACTTGTGCAGGAAATGAATCGGCTGGAATTCGATTGTGCCATACATGCCGTTGATACGACCCACGAGCTCGTTGACGACAGCGCGCAAGTTTTGGTACTCCTCCACATCCTGACGAGAGGGCACAGCAACCTGGACCAAGACGACCTTGCCGATCCACTCTGGGTGCTCTGACAAAAACACTTCGAGGGCATGCAACTTTTGGGGAACACCCTTGATGTAGTCCAGGCGATCGACACCGACAATCAACTTGACGCCCTTGAATTTCTCGCGCAGGGACTGGATGCGATTGATGACCGCGGACTCCTTCAGGCCATCTGCAAACTTCTCGGGGTCGATTCCAATGGGGAAGGTGCCGACATGGGCATAACGACCCTCAAAATCGACGCCGTTAGGCATAGTAGAGAGTCCCAGGATGCGGGTACATGAGGACAGGAAGTGGCGGGCGTAATCGTAGGTGTGGAATCCAATCAGATCAGAGTTCAAGACGCCGAGAAGGATCTCTTTGCGGACAGGCAGGATTCTATGGACGCGATCACAAAAAGACAAGAAAAGTGGACGTTAGAGAGATAAAGATACATTCAGGACGCATTGTCCAGGATGTGGATTTGACGTCATGATTAGCATAATTAAAATGTGTGAGACAAAAAAGAGGAATTGGCTGAATTGACCATCCTCAGCCAGTAATTGTCCCAGGGGGGGTTGAGGGTGGTTTTCAGCCAAAGGAGCATGGCGCTATGACAGATTCTGAATGCGACAAAAGAAAAAAAAGGGATCATGTATCCTTTACCTATAGACTTCACTACTGGGGAAGGGCGTGTGCAAGAAGAATCCAATCTTGATGTTCTTGACGGGCTCATTGTTCTGGCGCTGCTGCTCGACCTCCTGTCTCAACAGCTTTGGCAGCAACATCAGATGGTAATCCTGAACCCAGACCAGATCGCCGTCGCGCACAATCTCGGTAATAGCTTTTGCAAAGAGGCTGTTTGCCTGTTGATATGCGCCCCAATCATCCTCGTTGAACGAGATCTCACCGGGGTGGTAATGGAACAATGGCCAGAGAATGCTGTCATTTAGATTAGGGGCGGAAATAAGAGATTACGGGTTAGAAACCAATTTGCTTTACAATAACTGTGTATCGCCGCATACTTGAAGATAACAATCTTTAAATCAAAAACGACCAAAGATCACTTCTTTTCTTTTTTTTCTTTTTTTTACCTGTTGGAGAATCCATTGTAGTGCATGTCAGCAATCTCGTCATCGATAAAGACGGGCATGCACGAGTACTTTTCGAGCAGCTCCTTCTGGACCTGGGCGCGTTCTGCCTCGGGGATGTCGATTCCGGGCCATCCGATCCACGTGAACTTCATCATCCGCTTGAGTCCGGAGAGGGCAGAGACGAGGCCGCCGGAGGACATCTTGTATTGGTAGTTGCCGGCATCGTCCTTGGTGATGGTCACGGGCAATCGGTTGGAGACGACCAGCAGTCGGAGGTCGTCATTGGCGCCCGCCTGTGGAGCAGCAACCTGGGTGTCCTCGCTAAGAGACATTGGACTGTATAGAAAGAAAGAGAAGAGAGAGAGAGAGAGAGAGAGAGAGAGAGAGAGAGAGAGAGAGAGAGAGAGAGAGAGAGAGAAAGGGTTGTGGTAGAGTGGAGAGGAGGAAGAGAGGAAGTGGAAAGAAGAGGAGGAGGAGGAGGAAGGTGCCAAGGAGGGAAAGTGAATGAGAAAGGGTAAGGGGTGGGGGGTCTTGGGGAATGAGCACAAAGGGTGATCAGCATAGGAGGAACAGTCAAAAGTGACGTCGTTTTGCGATCATCAGCACCCACCCAGCAGGAAAAAAGGGACGCCTTTGTCCATCCACTGCGGACACAGGCTCACTACTTGGCCACAGCTAGTCCAGGAACAGGCCTGCGTGCCACAACGTGCCTGATCGAAGCGAGATCAGACTAACGCATATCCAGAGAGGAAGAAACAGCTCCATCGTCTTATTCGGCTTATCGTCATGGATGCGAGCATGCTCTAAGAGTAGGAGATATATGCTGAATTATCCTTTTGTTACACAGTCCCTCGCTCAGCTCACCATGCACATTCCACCCGCGGACAAAACGCGTCCCTTGCGTCCTCTTCGCAATCAGAAACCATGCGCGCGATAAAGGTTCATACGCTACGAAAGAATACAAAAAAAAAAAAGCTTGAAACCCGCGACACGGATGCCTCTATAGTTCATTTCAGAATCAGTTGAACAATATCAGTTGAGGCCAACTAGGAACATTGCGACAGGTCAACGGCATACAAGTTTTAATTATCCACTTCTATTTACAGCGAGCCAAGGCTACAAATACAAGAACGTGCAGATGCGATATAAATCTGCTCTGCTCAACAATAGGAGGGAGAGAGAAGAAAGAAAAAGAAACTATGGTACAATGAAAGAAAATAGCAAGCTACTCCTCTCAGGCTCAAAGCAAGAGCTCATCACCATCGCCAACGACCGTCAAGACCTTGACCGCCGTCGCCGCAATAAGCTGCCAGACCTCGCCTCTCAACATAATCAACGCCATCACCCAATACAACAACGTCTTCATATCCGTGCGCATCATCTTGTCTGCACATGTCTTCACAACCTTCACAACCTTGTTTCGCATTCCCTGCTGTCTGGCCGCAATCTTCATGAAGATCGAATTTGGACGAAGAATCAATCGATAAAACCGACCCCCGCGTGGGTTCTTGGGGTCACTTCCAGAATCGCGACCGATCCATGTCCGGTCCTTGCGGGATAGCGGGTACTGTGTCGGCAGGTCCGACTCGATCGAGGGTGTGATCATGAAGGACGGGATGTTAGCAGAGGACTTGGAATGCTTTAGCAGTGAAGCCTTCAGCGGTGTCGATTTGTGGCTGTGGTGGCTGTGGTTGCCGCCAGAGGTATGATGGCGCTGATGAGGGTTGTTGTTGCCTGCGGATGTAGTGTTGTTCAGGTCGATGAGTGGGATCGAGTTGGAGCGGGTCCTGAGAAGATTAGGTCGCACTAACATATTATTGTTATTCAAATGACTATTGTTGCCGGACGAGGGTGGGGCCATGGGCATCATCGGTGTCATTGACAAGAAATTAAGGCCGTCGTGGGGTCGTAATCCGGGACTGTGGAGTGGAGTCGAGATGGCATCGAAATAGATCGAGTCGCATGAATTGACCCGGCTGAGAGATGAGGTCGGGGTTCCGGACTGGAGACTGAGCATTGGATAACCAAAGTAATGAAAGATCTCACAGGTCTCTGGATCGTACTCGTACGCATCAGTGCCGCCAAAGTCTAGAAAAGCAGGTATGAAATTGGTAAAGACGTTAGATGCTGAAGGAAGATGACCCATAATTACGTGATATGATCCGAGATGGAATCAAGAATAAAGCGATATAGCATACCGGTAGAGAGTTCTTGGAGGTCGAAATGGTCGTGGAGCTCATTAACCGAGGACGGGAACGAGACCCGTGCGCGAGCAGTTTCTGGAAGAGCACGCTTGAGCATCTGCCAGATTCCGCCAAAGACCCAGCTGTAGTTGAGCACGTAAACTGGCGCCAGAAAAAAAAAAAAAAAAAATCAACAATGTCAGCAATAGTTCGTCACAGTTCCGGAAACCGGGAATAAAAAAGGGAAAGCAAAGATCTCGACAGATGATGTTCTACAGCGTGCTTACAAAAGCGCGCGTCTGTCTGCAAACCACAAAAAAATAATCTACATCTTCATCTTGTGTGCCCATGGTTGCTATGACTAAGCGCCTCAGCACGATACACATGTTTGCATTGTTGATCCTTCACCCAAACGGCATTTTTTTTTAGAGCCATACAAGAATGGAGGAAAGAGAAAGTGGAGAAAGAAAGGCATACCTTGAGCAAAGCAGCTGGGGTAACGGTGCTTGAGCAAATCGATGGTGTAAGAGATCATCTGATGATCCAAATCGGATACCGAGGCACCCTGGAGATCGAGAATCAGCGATGCCTGGAGCGAATGGTCCTCTGGGGGCTGACGACGGCTAGACTCCCAGAGGAGCTTGCGGGTGCATTCGAGGACGAAAATGATGTAGCGCTTGTATTCCAGGAATCGGTCGTTCTCTTCGGCCTCTCCCGTGTCGGAATACTCCTGCTGAGGGGCGGGGACATATTTGCGGAGGCGGATGGTGATGACAGGATGACCGTAGCGGTCCTGGCCGCGCAACTGGACGAGTCCGTTGATCCAGAGGGGGTTGTCCTCCATATCTCTGGGGGAGATATGGTCGCATTCTGCAGCTATCCTCCAGGCGACGTTGGCGTCGACGAGGTTGTAGGCCTCAGGGAGGGCGTAGTTGGCCTTCTTGAGGAAGCGGAAGAGGGTGATGCGGTCGTTGAGGTAGTTGGTGGCGATGTGGTGGGAGGGGTGGTGGGGCGGGTACTGCTGCTGGACGAGGTGCTGCAGCTCTGTGACCTGCTGGATGTGCTCCTGGTACAGCTCCAGCAGGCTGTTTGTGGATGCTTCAGCCGCGTTCATTTGTATGGCTCTGTAGAAAGGAGGGGAGTGTGGAGAGAGAAGGAGGGGAGTGGGGGTTAAGGTGTGGCAAAGAGGCAAAGAGGCAAAGAGGAGGAGGAAAAGGGAGTTGCTGTGCTTTTGAAAGGAAGTGGAAGTAGATGAAGAGGAGAGAGAGAAAGAGTGAGTGAGTGAGTGAGGAAAGGTGGAGTGGAGAAGAGAGAAGAGAGAGAGTGGCTGTGGGGGGAGGAGAGAGACAGAGAAATGGAGCGGTGTGGAGTGGAGAAATAAAGAAATGAAGGGAGGGAGGGTGCAATTAGTGAAGTGGATATAATTATTCGGTCAAGAATGCTGCTGCTGCATGCACGACCAGGATAAGAAAAGAGAGAAAAAGGGAAAAAAAAGAGAGAGCAGCAACCAAGGCAAAGGGAAGGGAAAGAAAAGAGACGAGAGAAGAAAGAGGGAAAAGAGACAAGAAGAGGGAAAAAGAGAGACGAGAGAGGTGGAAATGAACAACAACAACAACAACAACAAAGACATCTCCCCCCCCCCGTATAGCAGAGTCGAGCAGAGTCGAGCAGCGTCGAGCAGAGACGAGAGACAGACACGAGGAATAATATGACGTCCTTGCAACACAACGCATCCTTTTCGCAGTGTCGGTGTCTGTCTTTGTCTCTGTCTCAGCCTGGCATGTGAAAGCGGGGTAGAGTCCAGTCCATAGTCCATGTGGTGCAAGGTGCAAGGTGCAAGGGGACAACGAGACAAAGAACCTTTTGTACCTCGCTTGTACCTCTGTTGTACATGCACACACTCTGTACACCTTGCAAAGAAGAGCAAGGGAGCGGGCTCCCCGTGCAACCAGGGGCGTAGGAGCATGTATGTATCTCTCCAAGCCAGACCACTCCCTTCCATTTCATGTGCTGAACCATAACCATGCACACCCCACATCCACAACCACATCCATCGACTACATCTAGTCCACATACTCAGTCCACGCTAGACCACATCCCCACTGCACTGCAGTCTGCTATGATGAAAAAAAAAAAATGCCATGATGAAAAATAGTATGGCATATGCGCTAGACTACCAGATCTATCTTGCAGACAGCATGCTGTCTTGCAGCGCCTAGCCTACTTTGCACCACACATTTACCGGGTCTTCCGTGTCCTCTTGTCCCCCCACCCTGGCCTATTTCGATCAGGTCGACGATGCATGCACAAGATCGACAACCGTTGATGAACTTTTTATTTTTGTCTGCAGCTGTGTATGGCCCGCTGACTAGACTACCTCATCTCGGATTTTGTGATTTGCGATGGGCCCACGAGAGAGGGAAAATAAATAGCCTGAATGTACGTGCTAAAGTGTGCGTACGTGCGTGCTATTCAGGCCAAACCTTCATTTTGCACGTTTTTTTGTTTTTCTCTTTTTTATCCTCCGGCCAACGGCTTTCCAGCCGCAAGTAAATAAAGGATTGTGTAATTCCAAACAGAGTGCAGCAGTCAGTCAGCACATGGGAGCGGGCAGTGCAGCAATGTCCAACGGCTAATCCCGATCAAGCGGCGGGCCTCTTCTTTCAAAGGGGGGGCGAGCGGTCATCAACTAAGCATTATTGTAGTGCTGTAGTGCTGTAGTGCTGTAGTGCTGTAGTGCTGCAGTCGCTGTAGTCGCTGTAGTCGCTGTAGTCGCTGCTCTCCCTACTCCCACGCAGTTGATAGAAAAACGCATCGGCAGCGGAGCGGAAGTCGAAATAAAAAGCTGATAATGCTTCCTGTTCCATTTCAACCTCCGAACAGGATCCGTATATAACTCGACTCCTACCCCCACCAATTTCCCTTCTCTCTTCTTTTTTCCTCATCCATTCCGTTCCCCCCTCTCCACTCACTCACTCTTTTAAACCGTCATGTCCTCTGCTGCTGCCAACGCTGCCAAGAAGGCACCCACTTTCCTCCAGACCTGGTTCCGTGTCGAGGTCATCCCCATCTACGCCGTCCTCGGTGTTGCTTGCGGTGGTGCTGGTAAGTTTCTCTCTCCTTCCTTTGTCTCACACAGCACACCGTCAACACAATATCGCAATACACCTGCAGTGTCTTAAACACATACCACTTCTTGGTCCTGCAGTGCTTCCCTCTGTGCCTGTAGCGGATTGTTGATTACTATTATTTTTCTCGATCTGATTACGAGCTGTGTTCATCATCCCTTGCCTACCCCTCTTTTCCCCCCTTTGTCCCTGTGTCTCTGTCTGTGCGTATGGTGTACCTGAATTTTTGTTGTTGTTCATCTCAATACGGAAAGGGATTTTACGGGATCGGGTCCAAGCATCTATTTTTGGCCAATGATCACTACTCCTTTCATCAGCCCTAGACAAAAAAGTAACCCGACTGACAATCCCCCCCAACCCTTGTTTTTTTTCACGATTACATAGCCTGGTACGTCACCCGCCTCGCCCGTGGTCCCGATGTCACCTGGGATCGCAAGAACAACCCCCACCCCTGGTTGCACATTGACCAGGACACCCAGCTCAAGCTCATGACCGTCAAGGAGGGCCAGGGCTTCACCAAGACCTACTCCCGCGACCGTCTGTAAAGCGCCCGCAACAACAACAACAACAACACACACACACAATTACCCAAGGAAACGGTGTCTTTTGGTCGAACGAAGGATGGAAAGGAGGAGGAACGGGTTGATGTGAAGGAAGGAAAGGAAGGGGGGGCAAGATTGAGGAAAGAACCTCTTTTGCGAGGTAGTACTTCGAAGGAGTTAGTCTTGGATCTACGACCTTGATCAAGCCGAATGAGACGAACAGGATACATTTCCCCAGAGTGCTACCGACACAAACTACTTTCTCAACATACCTCTTTCCCTCCTTTTTTTTCTGGATGCCCTCTTTTGCCCTCGTTCTCTCTCTCTTTCTCTCTCTTTCGTTTGATATCTTTCACCGTATCCTGGGCAATCATTCGCACACCATCATAGCACAAAATAGATGAACCTGTACTTTTAACCGGTCCTTAGTTATATAACCAAAAAAATATATATTCATAAACGCTGCCCTGCAGGAAGCAAACAAAAAAAAAAAAAAATCGCTGCTACATATTATTTTTCTTTTCATTTCCTCAAACCATTCCCAGAATGAAGACCAGAATGGGATGTTCTTCTTGTCAGGACTAGCAAGAAAGAGAGAGAGAGAGAGAGAGAGAGAGAGAGAGAGAGAGAGAGCTCCAGTTCTCTGTGCTGTGTGCCGTTTTTTGTTCCAGATTCATCATGATTTCAGGAACATAGTTCGTTCTTGTTACCTGAGACCAAAAGAAGAAAAAACATAAAAACATAAAGAGCTGCTCTTCCAGAAGCAGTTGGCGTCTTTGTGTGTGTCTTCTACCCTTTCGATGTGAACATGGTGTGTATGCCTTCTGTCGACCCCTATTTTCATTCTTTTATTCTTTTATTGGAGTCATCCATGGGGTTGTTTTTTTTTTTCTTTTTTCGGATCTAGATGGCTAGATGGCTAGATGGCTAGATGGCTTCAGCTGCTCTCTCCTCCTCAGCAACCATGACCGGCTGTTGAGCATCCTTCATACCCGCGTTATTCGCTGCAAACCAACTCATCCTCCTGAACGGCTTCTGCCACTTCCCGGCCTCCGGCATCATCGTCGGGGTCGTCGGCGTCGCTGTCGGTGACACCACCGTCGCAGCCGTCGACACACTGCTCGACAAGCTCATCTCGGACGTCGAGATCGACAACGCAGGGGTCCGAGCTCCGGATCCGAACATCGAGGTCGAATGATCGTGCATCCCATCGTCCGATAAAGACATCGACTGCCGTGACTCTGGCATCGGAGGAAGCGTCGACAGCGCTCCCTTGGTCGAGGGCATCATCGTCCGCCGGTTCTGAGCAGAAGCGGGCGTCGCGTTCGACTCACTCACATACCGTCCATGAGCCGTACCCCTCAGATGCGACACTCCCGAGGTCCCGATCGTCTGTCGGCGCTGGTGGCGTTCCTGTGCAGCACCGGCGCCCAGTGTCCTGTGTCGTTGGAGTTGCTGGCGCGTAAAGGGCTGTTCAAACGTCGTCAGCTGCTCGTACTCCATCGACGGTCGGTGTTCTTGGTACACGGTCGCATAATCTCCAGAGGACTGACTCGTCCGTGGAGAGTCCTCGATCGCGACTCCCTCCTGGAAGGACGCCAGATCATTCGTGCTATCGTCCTCAGAACTACTGCGGGTCGAGCTCTTGCCCGATGCAGTTGGTTGTGGTGGTGCGGGCTTGGACCATGAGAATATTGACAGCACGGACTGTGAACGCGGGCGGTTGGGCTCCTTCTTCTCGGGCCTCTTCTCTTCCTTCTTCGAATCCGTGTCGGAGCCGCTGTTGGTGCTGTTGATGCTGCCAGCGCCTCCGTTGCTCCTGATCGCTTGAGACTTGATGACAGATGGCGGCGATGCCGGCGCGGCTCCACGTCCCGGACTGTAATCCGCCGCGAGGACCGAGGTCAACATGGGTCGCTCCATGATGCGGGACAGAATCTTGGTGATGTACAGGTTGAGCGCCTTGTTTTCCTCCTTCAGCGTCTTGTTCTCATCGACCAGGGATTCCATCGACCGCTCTGGTGGGAATTGATTGAAGGCCCGACCGAGTTCGTCCGCAAGGTTGACGGAGCCATTGCTGCTGCCCGTGCCTGAAAGATCGTCATCATAGCCCGTGCTCTATTTCCCCATGACATAACAAACAAACAAACAGGCGTAAATAAAGGAGCGTCAGAAATGAAAAACTTCTGTGCGTCAGCTCCGCATGTCGGAAACCACATCACGTAATGAAGGGGGTGAGGGGATCATCAGAATGTCGAGCAAAACGAGCTCCCCCTTTGGACCTTTTTTTTCATACATACCTTCATGATGCTTGTCTGCATAAACTCGCCATTCATCGACTTTTCATGCAACAAGAGTTGATAACTCTCATTTTCCTCCATCAGGCCTCTGTTCAGCTCGCGCGCCTGAGAAATCTCTGCCTGGAGCTCTGTTTCCCGAAGACTGGCGTTGTGCTGGCGTTCGATCAGGTCCTGGTTCATGGTCAGGATCTGCTGTCGAAGTTCGGAAATCATCCTTTCGTTCGCTCTCAGTGCTCTCGTGTGGACGGCAGTGTTCTCTGCGATCTGCTGTTGAATCTGCGGAGGCAGAGCATCTACTGGCTCTTTGTCCCTTTCCTGTCGGTCCTCCTCTGCTTCAATAAAATAATTCCAATTAATGCGCCAATAATGCCAATAATGCCAATGCAATGAGCAGGAGTATAATTAGCACGAGGTATAGACTATCGGAGGAAAATAAATAAAAAAAAAAAAAGTATTTCTTATTACAATCTGCTTGCTTACCTTTTGCGGGTGCCTGAACAATGAGCGGCCTCGTTGCAAACTTGAGGCTCCGTGTCAGTTCCGCCTCACGTTCCATCCACAGGGCTCTTTCCCGCTCCAATGCAGCATTGTTCTGTTCCAGCTGGCGTTCACTATCCTTCCTGGCCCTCAACAACCGTTGGGACTCTCTCCGGGCCTCCGCCAGGTTCTGATCGAGTTCATAAATCTGGTTCTCAAGTCGGGCCTCGTTGTTCCTCGCAGAATTGATTTCCTGTTGTGCTAGGGCGTTTTTCTGTACAAGAACAAGGTTTTCGTTTAGCAATTCTGTTGCAGTCGCGGCCTGCTGTTGCTGCTGCTGTTGTTGTTGTTGCTGCTGCAGACGGTTATATTCCTGAAGAGATTCCATGGGACTGCCGGTACTGAGGACGGTCTTTGTTGTGAATGCTGCTGCAGCGGCTGCGGTGGTTGCCGCGGATGTTGCTGGTTTGCTGAGACAGAACGAACCGGAGCCATTCATGGGAGATGGCTTGAGTGAAGAAAAATGAGAGGAAGACTGTTCATGCTCCCAGTCAAGGGATGGTGGTCCGCGTCGGATACGGTCAGAGTCCGTCGACAGAGGAGGACCGAACATGGAGGAGTTGGGCGAGTCGGGCTCACAAGACTCGCCATTTCTGCCATGCTTTGACATCCGCACACTCATTAGAATAAAAAAAAATCTTCTTTTCACTCTTCTCTCCCTCCTTTCAAATAATGCGACAAAAAACGTTGATAGAAAAAAAAAAAAGAGTAGATAAAAACGAACGCCGTCAGGTAGTCAGGTAGCCAGGGACGAAATACGAGATAGAAGAAAAGGCGGGGTTTGCAGGAAGGGCGAGGAGTAATCGGGCGATAAAGAATGAAAAGAAAGGAAAAAAAAAAAAAGGAAATAGAGATAGAGCGAAAGAGGAGAGAGATGAACAAGGGAGCATCTCCTCCTCTACACCAACACGAACTCGAACAACACCAATAATACCCCCAAAAAAATGCTAATGCCGCTGCCGTTGCTGCTGTCAATGGTGGTGGTAGTGGTGATGGTGGTGCTGGCGATGGTGTTATCTGCTCCATTGTCCTGTCCTTTTGTCCATTGTTCTTTTTACCCTTAAAAAAAAGCAATGCTGTCTCCTGTCAATGATGTCCTGTTCCTTTTTTACATATGTGCTGCATGTGATATATGAACAAAATAAGTCCACTCCGTCTTTTTTTTTTGGGACCAACCCAAAACCAACTTACCCTGTGGGCCAAATCAAGCGATCGCATGGTGGAGATCAGGATCTATTCAAAAAAAACCAGAAATGCAAAGTAACGAACGCGGGATGAGTCAAGCGGCACTTGGTCTTCGACCACTCGCCACCAATGGTATGACTACAATAACCTATCATAGAGGGGCGTGTTGCTGTGGGTTTCTTTTTTCTTTTCTTTTTTCTTGTGCCACGATAATGTTCATTGTGACCCCATTCATGTTCCCCCCTCCTTTCAGTCCGTCAGTCTGCTTCAGCTCAGCTACTGTTGCATTCATTGCGAAATGAATTCATTGGTCTTACTTCATCCGGATCCCCATGGTCGTTGGAGTCGAATGTCATTGGTGCTGGCGAAACGTTGGTTCAGGTCGAAATATGATAATAGGTGGTATGTAGGTGTGCAGATGTGCAGTGGATGTAAAGCAAAGTGAAATAAAGTAACAAGAAAGAAAAGAAAAAAAGAAAAAAAGGACAACAACGGTTCAAGGCCGTTCAATGGTTCGAGGACGAGGAATTGAGAGTGAGAGTGAGCGTTGGAGGAGGCGAAGAAGAGGAAGAGAGCGCGCGATAGAGAGCCTTTTTTCCTGCTGCCGCCTTTTTTGCTAATTTTCCGTACGACGATAGTGCTCCACTGATAAAGAAAGGTGGGTGTGCAAGTAAGAAGGTGAGAGGAAGATAAAGAGAGCTGGAGAAAGAAGAGGAGGGGTCTGGATGCGATGATGCTTGGCTGGATATCAAAGGAATGCTGGATTAAAAAAAAAAAACCACTATGCTGTAGCCCGACATGCCTCGTGGCCCCCCGAGCTTTCCCCCTTCTCCTGACTCCGTTGTTGATGATGCCGATAGTTTGTCGTTGCTGTTTGTTTGTTTGTGGATGCCAACGAACGTTGAGTGTATTTTTGGACCATATGCCATGGGTAAGCATGAGGATAGGTCTGTTGGCATTGGCATTGACATCGGGGGTTAGTGCCCTTTGGCAGAGATGCTTCGCCTAAGAGTACGCCCAACTGCTGCATTGTTTCTTTGTGTAATGCATCGCATTCCTTCCACTGCCATGATCCCTCCCCCATAGTCGTTTCGGTCACTATTTCCTTCATTGTTTGAACTACTGAGGCAACTGCTCCATCGGGCTATGTTATCGTATCGTTGTCGATTCGATAGTTGGATGCACAGGTGCGGAAAGACCGTTTCGCAATAGCCGCTGCAAAGTGGAATAAAGAAAAAAAAGCAACTTCAAGCATGCTGTTTGGGCCCATTCTCCTCCATTTCAGACTGTGCGATTTCCCTATTCAAATACCAACCAAACCAAACTCGTCTTCGTTTTGCGGATCGCATCTTCCGCAATACCCTCATTTCATTTCTTTTTTTCTTTGACTCTCCCATGATTCAAGACAATACGAGGGTAGCGGCAGTACGAGAGCGATACAAGGCTGCAGGACAGGACCACGTCTTCACCTTCTGGGACGAGCTCTCAGAGCGGGAGCGGGAGTCGTTTCTCCTCCAGCTCGAATCCTTCGACCCCGTTGCGCTTAATATCACCTACGCCCAAGCGACTGCTTTTTCCAAGAATACCGTCATCTTTGCAGACCTCTCACCGTTGGATCCGAGCGAGGTCCAGTCTACATTAACGGCAACCTCTGAAGAAAAGGACGAATGGTACACCCTAGGAATGAAGGCGATCGCTAATAACCAGGCTGCGGTCATTCTGTTGGCAGGAGGGCAAGGTACTCGTCTGGGCTCAATGCTCCCCAAAGGCTGCTACCCCGACATTGGACTTCCCTCTCACAAGACGCTCTTTCAGATCCAGGCAGAGCGAATTTTTAAGCTTCAGGAACTGGCCAGGATGGACAGAGCAAAGAGGAGCGGTCAATCTCTTGATTCCGTCCCACCTGTGGTGGTCCCATGGTGCATCATGACCTCTGGATCAACGCGACACCAGGCAGAAGTTTTTTTACGAGAGCAGGACTACTTTGGGCTGTCGGCGGACAATATCATCATTTTTGAGCAGGGCGTCATTCCTTGCTTCGATAAAGAGGGTAAATTCCTGCTGGACCAAAAGAACACGATTGCGACTTCGCCCAACGGCAACGGAGGACTTTATTGGGCCCTGCGCCGCGAGGGTGTCCTGGACGAGCTGGCGAAAAGAGGCGTCCGTTACGCGCACTGCTATTCTGTCGATAATATCCTCATCAAGATTGGAGATCCTATCGGCATCGGCCATGCATTGGAGACAGGAGCGGACGTCACCGCCAAAGCCATGCCCAAGACCAGGGCTACTGAACCATTGGGAATGATCTGCCGATTGGGAGGGAAGATCAAGGTGGTCGAGTACTCGGAGATGGATCCGGGGCTCGCGGCGCTCATCGACGACCGAACGGGCGAATCTGTCTACCGCACAGGCTATATCTGCAACCAGATCTGTTCACTAGACCTTCTTCAAAAGATATCCGGGATTTTGCAGAACAAGGGCCAGGATACATTGCCCTATCACCCCGCACTCAAAAGGATTCCACATGTTGATCTCCGCACGGGTCTCTTCGTCCATCCAGAGAAGCCGAATGGCGTCAAACTGGAGTTGTTCATCTTTGATGTCTTTCCGTTAGCAGAACGATTCGCGTGTTTAGAGGTCGAGCGATCCAGAGAATTCTCGCCAATGAAGAACGCGACCGGACTGGACTCGCCGAGTACATGCAGGAGGGATCTGGAGCGACTGCATATACGATGGATTGGAGAAGCAGGCGGACATGTGGAGGGCAAAGCTATCGAGCAAGTAACAGATACGAACGGAGCCGCCGTTGAGGCGAGGATTGGGTTCGAGATTGGACCGCGTCTTAGTTATGCGGGCGAGGGGCTTGAGTGGGTCAAGGGCAAGACGATTCGTGCAGGCGCTCTGGAGAGTCGTGATGATGCTCTGTTCATCAAGCACTAAACCATTACTTCTTTTCTTTTTTTTTGTAATAAAACAGCACTTCCATTCTCTCTCTCTCTCTCGCAAAAAAAAAAAAAAAAAAAAAAAAAGAAAAAGAAAAGAGAGAGAGAGAGAGCAAATAGAACGCGCTCCTTCGCTACTGCTGAGGTTGCTGCGCTTCTCAATGCTTGATAATTTTGGGCGCGCGCGTGTCAAGTTTCCTTTATTCCTCTCTCCTCTCTCTCTCTCTTATCCTTTTGACAAGACATGCACCGTGCAGTAAAGGATCGTACGCCTGTAAATGTGCATTTAAAGAATAAATTGCACTTATAAAAAGCTGACATTCAAACATGCACTTAGAGAAGAGTTTAATTTAAAATATATTATGAATAATAGACCCGAAAATTATCTAAAAAGCGTGGTTGGTTTAGTGGTATAATTACCGCCTGCCACGCGGTAGACCCGGGTTCGATTCCCGGACCACGCATTATTCTTTTACCTTTGGAAGAATATAATCTCACCCCCCCGTGAGATTACCCCCCGTTTTGTCATCTCACAGGGGTGTAAGCGGGTTATTCTTACACCCCGGTAAGAATAATTCGAGCTTTTTTTTTTCACGGGGAGGTGAGCGCCATATTCTCACGGGGGTAGTCTGTAGGGCCTCGTTTAAAAAAAAAAATCACTCGTTTATTGTTCAAGGTCTGTTTCAGCAGGATGGAATTCTTTGGATGGTCGCGACATCTCGCTGCTGCTCTTGATACGTTTGGCTCCTGGACGCCCCTTCGGCTTCACCACAAGTGGGTCTTTAGTGACACTAAGACCTGCTTCGTTGTCAGACGCGTCCTGTAGCTCTATGAGTCCCGTCTCCGTTTCAGCGAGGTTGAGAGGTTGTTGAGCGTTTGCATCGCATTGCTGGACCGGCTGTCCTCATGATGGCCAGCTCTCTCACGATCCCTGTAACATCTGTGTGCCACTTTATCCTCAGTCGCTCTTCCTTTCTTGCCTGTGGTTTCGAGGATCCTGTAGAGAACAAGGTGTGCACAATCCTCGTACAAGCGCTGGCGGGGTGATCCTCGGTCCTGGTGGAGGCGATGTAATGCGGGTAGGCGACTAGAAGCTTTGAACCAATTTTCGTCTCGAAACCTTCAAGATCCTGCCACTGCTCCTTGAACCAGCGCCTGAGAACGAGGCTGATCAAATACTTGCACCTGCTGTCCCCTTGCATCACGCAAAAGAAGTGCCTGCACACAATCTCCGTGTTTTGCAGCAAGAGGCAGGTGCAAAAATATGAATGGCCAACCATAACCACAACAAACTCCTGTTGACTACGACGGATCTTGTTGTGGATGGAATAAACCACAATGATTTCGGCTGGGTCCAGTCTTGAGAGTAGTGATGCCAGAGAAGACTCGCGGAGGGCTTTCCCAGTTCGGTCGACCTATGCAAATGGATTCTGTGGTGTAGTAAATGACAATCATTCGGTTGGCCTCGCAAAGTTGATATTGGATCACGGGAAAGAGCACTGCCCCAGAATAAAAGAATAAACGGTCTGGTTCCTGGACCAGAGTCTTCTTTCCTAAAATCATGTGTATCACACGTCGCATTCGTCCAGACTGTCCGGATAACACCACAGCAACGACAGGTACTGACTACCACCGTCAGTAACCCACGCAACAAGATACAGTCAACAGGGAATGCCGATCCTGATCATTCGCTATCTTTGCACCGTCAACTGCTCTTATTTAGGCATTGTACTTGCCCTGCAGCGCTTCCTCAATCACCGATCGTCTCATTGAGCATCCGTCATCGGCCCACCCTCGTCAAACGGCATTATAAAGGTACAATCGAGGCCTGATCAGCGAGTATTGGCATACAACGACTCTAGAGAGGTGGACTTCATTGTCATGACTCCTCACCTCATCGGATATCACATATGCGAACTCCTTGCAACTACCCCAGTCATTCCCAAAGGAATATAGTCCTAGCTCGTACCATTTAGCTAAACAGATCCTATATTTATTTCCTTCCATTTTCGTTTACCTTTGTGTTCATACATTCCAATCTAAAGGAGGACCCTGCACCGCGAACCAGTAAGTAACCGAAGCACGCCCTTGCCGAAGTCCTATTCGCGTGGTGTCTTCTATTGTAAATAGAACTAATGATAGAAGTTACAGAACTCGTTATTAGACCCCCTACGCCGCATTACCCCGTTGCTTCTTGCCATGGTAGGCAGTGAGGCTTTTAGTCAATCAGAGGTATTATTCAGAAGCCGGTTGTTACAAACGATCCTTCGTGCAGCGCCATACGCGTCGCTCTTGTCCTGTGCATCGAAAAATAATCCAACGGTTACAGCCCAATTGAATGAATCTCCCTAGTTCCTAGTTTTGGAGCGTCAAATGTGTGAGTTAAGTCCAGATGCACTTCTCAGTTCATCATGGAAGAATGCTGAAAAAGCAAACGCGTGGCGATACCTCTAAATGCTTCTCAATTGCAAAGGCGCTTTGGATAATGCGCAAGGTGAGCATCAAGAGTTTACTGAGTGCAATTGTTTATGAGCATCTAGTCTATGAGTAAGACGTATCTCAGGACATTCTCCGGATACCCAGTCTGGATAGACCATAGACTATAGCCTTGCATAACAGACTCTGGTGAATATGTGGTGTTGCTGATGCTGCTGATGCTTATGGCCATTGATTACCCATCGTGATTTAGCGACCTCTCTCTTCTTTTCTTTCTACATAAGACAAACCCTAATCATCTTGACTTAAAGTCTAGCATTGCATGCAAACAGCCTTGCACATTTCGAAAAAGAAAAGAGGACGAGCTCAAAAAGGACGAGCTCCAGATAGGCGTGCAGGAGTGTGACATAGGCATGAGAACGAGCAAAAGGACGAGCTGCAGATGGGCGTAAAGCAATTGGACGAAGAGAGAGAATGACACAACCTGGCCGTTGCTCGAGATTATCTGGTCATGGAGATATGGAGTTATATATTCTACGAAGGTGGAGGGCATGGTGAAATGCACTCTTTCTCGCAATTTTTTTCTCTGTGCACACCCTAACACTCTATAACCAACATCACTGTTGCAAATTACCTTCCTCGCCAGCATTCCACTACACGCTACGCTAACTACAGTGATCAAGGCACAGAGAAACGAATGTACATTCTACAACTGCGTCCAGGGACTGCTGGACAGGAAAGCGGCGATCCAGCCACAGGAGCGTCGCATTGATCAGGGTCTCCCGGTCAGGGACGGGGACGGACCTGTGCCATTGACCAAGTCAGAAAAAAACCACTTGATTCGGTTGCACTCAACGGTGCCAGTTCAAGTGAGAAACGTCCTTTTAAATGTGTTCGTCCGATTTGAAAGGCGCGAGGATAGAAGCATGGATTTCATCTGCGTTTGCAGAAAGCCATTCCTGACAAGAGATAGCCTGAGCAAGCATTACAAGTGGGTCTGCGCCATTCCAACATCCCGATTAACGTTCCAGGGCTTCAACTTATTGACAGCGCTCAAGTTCTCCCTGATGATTTGGAGGTCGCCAATGCCTCAGGTACATCTGGTGACGAGGTTGATGAGGAGAACCACAAAGGCGATGAGGCGTTTAGCGGCAGCAATGCACTCATATTCAACAATAACGTCATTTCGGCTACTTCAATGACATTTGATTCAGGAAGAGTGGTTGGTGCAACTATCCGAGAGTTCATGCGGGGCTCGGATATTGCAAATACTCAACAGCAACATGTACAGCGCATGCAAATCATGGCGTTTTAAGAGGAACAGCGCACGCTAATCACAGCTATGGAGCAACGGGTCCTGAGCTCTATTGCCCAGATTGCAGCAGGTCAAGGGCAGGGGCAAGCTATGCAAGCTGCTTCTGCTTCTGCTTCTGGCACCGGACCTTCCAGTCCGGTTTCTACAAGTAGAAAAAGAACGCGCTCTAAGGCCCCTCACTTTGGTACATTCAAATCCCCTAGTCGTATGTCTCCAACTGAAAATAAGTAAAATAAAAATGGCGGTTTGGTGGAGCGAGTGTAGAACGATATAAAATTGTGCAGATGTAGAGACGGGAAAGCGCATGGTCTTGCCTTGCTTATCATTTTCCACGATAGTGAAAGCTAGGTAACTCCCTACGCGTCGGCATGCTTGCAAACGATTGGAGTATCTGAGGTGTCGAAGGATCTAGGGTGAAAAGGGTATTTTATTGGGCGAATGCTGCTATCTAGTTCTATGCGTAGATAGGGGTTATATACTAGTTGCATCGGTGTCAACAGTGCATTGAAATATTGTAGAAACTGGGCGAAGCACTGTCGACATCATAGCATACTAAATCTAGCATTAAACCTTTGCAAAGATCCACGATAGTGATTTTGAATCGTAAAGTACTACTCCAATATGATCACAAACGACTGTCTGTTTTCTCTTTTCCATGGCACCTCGTCATTCAGCTTCGGAGTGAAATCTGGCTCAATCCTGCCTCATATTGGATTGGACAAAGGGGTAGATTCTCCAGCGATAAGGAAACCGATATGTGAATCTACATGTAGACCTAGTATGACACCCCGTTATCACCGCACTACTGGTAAACAGCAATTTAGTGCGTCGCCCGAGTGTGTCAAGAGTGTAACACACCTGGTATCAGAGAACGGAGCTGAACTACAGTCTATATTAAGGAAGCGATGGCTAAAAAGATCCGGATCCTTAAACGAATTGAGGTGATGGGACTAGATGTGTGGTAAAAGCAAGAGCAATCTATTAACTTACGTATTGGGTACGATGGCGCGTGGTCAGGGCAGAAGGAAAAAAGTTCGGGCTGGTATAGAGAGAGAGGTGTACAAAAGTGCGCACTGGTAGAGAGAGAGAGAGATGTACTGAGGTTTGCACTCTTGACACATCTGGGCGACGATAACGGGGTGTCAGGCGCTTAAGCACTTAGAACCCAGGTATTGATCATAAAGCCTCTTTTATATGCCCATGAGATTATCTTTGTTTCGCTATAGAATAACAGGGTGTAAGATTAAAGCTCTTACGGGGGGTGTGAGAATAAAATTTCACTATGTGCTTTGGATAATCTCACGGGGGGTGTAAGAATAAAATCTTACGGGGGGTGAGATTATATTCTTCCTTACCTTTTCCCTGCCATAAACAGACGTGTGATTATTCGTCGACCCTCTGCTATTGCCGACCCTTACTTCCTTGGCTGCATGCGAAAGTTATATGTCGCCCGACTGATCCGTCATACCCCTTCTTGCCTGTTTGTCGCCCTGCTAACTAGCCATATGGATCCCTATCTATTCATTGTAGCAAGGGGGGTGCGACCAAGTGCGGCTAAGCTACCCATGGCCAGATTTTATGGCGAAATCATGGATAAAGCCAAACACTTAGCGAGCCAGTCATTAGATGATCCGGGGATGTGCATGGCGGCGCTGAAGATGTTGAACAAAGCCATTAATGAAAAAATGGGTCTATTTGCCATTGAAGACCCAATGATCGCAATTACAGAGGGAAGAACCAAGGGAAAGCGACTCAAGAGCAGCATGGAGCAGCCCAGTAAACGTAAAAAGCCGAGGACGACCTCGACATATTAAAAACTTTAATAAGATCAGAAAAATAAAAAAGACCTCGCGCGCGCAAGATCCTGGCCCTAGTTGATATATAGGAGATCAATATGGAGTCAATATAATGGGGTGAATCTCTTTGTTCATTTGTAAGATAAAAAAAAAGCCATTTTAGATGGCACCGGGTGACAAACAGGCAAGGAGCAATATAACAAGTTGATGAGGTAGCAAGCAGCCGGGGATCCATATGGCTAGTTGATAGGGCGACAATAGACAAGAAGGAGTATGACGAGTCGATCGGGCGACATATAACTTTTGCATGCAGCCAAGGAAGTAAGGGTCGGCAAATAGCAGAGGGGTCGACGAATAATCACACGTCTACATATGGTGGGTAGGGGTAGTGATTGTAACTCGAGTTAACTCGAGTTAACTCTTCGATGACCTTACTGAATGTATTGTCAATTATAGTCTTTTTATTTAACACATTATTGCTAATTGACAATGCAATCAGCGATGTTATCAAATTTTTCAGTTGAGTTAACTCGAGTTACAATCACTAGGTAGGGGTCGGCAAATAAGCATTCTCGATCGGTCGGCGAATAAATAATTTGTTCCTCAAGGGTCCTATTTTACATGGTATTTGGCAACCGGGTTGTCAAATAGCGTTGCTTTTATGCATTGAAGAATATTTTTGTGCAGGTATCTGTGCTATCATTTCCGAATTTTGCTGAGTCCTTTTATGTCGCTACAGATGCATCTAATGTAGGTAGTGGAGCCGTCTTGTATCAGCTGCCTGAAGGCGAAGAGAATCCCAAGAACATTAGATACATTTCATTTGTCGCAAGATCGTTGCAGGAGAGAGAAAGGAAGTACTCTGCAACGCAGAAGGAGCTACTAGGAATAGTGTGGGGTAGGTATTTTACGTTGTACACGGACCACCGCGCACTGAAGTTCATTCATTCTCAAAATGAGATGAACTCTATACTCATTGGATGGCAAGAGACTATCCTGGATTACACATTTAAGGTCGTTTACCGACCAGGAGTGCTTAATGTGCTACCCGATGCATTGTCGCGTCAGTTCCCCACAGGAGCTTTGGAATACCAATTAATGGACCCGCGAAGATTTATAGCTACATGCATCTTATCCAGGTCAAGCAAACTCCCAGAGAGACGGTGTCAGAAGACAAACGTAAAACATTGCTAGCCGATACCTATGCGCTTAGCCATTTTGGCGCCAATGCCATGGTCAATCATATTCACACTCTAAACAAAACTTGGCCCTTAATGGCTAAAGAATGCTTAGAATTTGTTCAGCGCTATACAGTATGTCAGTGCGTAAGTATAGGACGCAAGGGATATCATCCTCTGTCTGCAATCCATGTCCAACTGCCCGGAGAGCATATGGCAACAGATCTTGCCGGACCTCTCCCAGAAAGTGCCAAAGAGAACACCATGTTGCTTATTTTAGTAGATGTCTGCACTCGGTCCGTCTTTCTTATGTCCATGAAAAATAAGACAGCAGCAACCGTAGCGCGCAGATTATTTAAGATATTTACCATCATTGGTTTTCCCCGCATTTTGCAGTCGGACAATGGAAAAGAGCTTGCCAATGAGGTTATGAGAGTGGTGACCCCACAGAGATGGGTGTACAACATCGGCTGGTCACTTCATATCACCCTCGAGCCAACGGCGTAGCCGAGAACTATGTTAAGACAGCTATAAACATTATCCGTAAAGAAATCAAAGTGAAGAAACGCAATTGGGACCGACATGTCACCATGGCTCAATTAGCCATGAATACGAGGATTGTTGCATTGCACAACTCGTCCCCTTTTTCGTTATTTTTTGCCAGACATTTCAACGGTTTCCATAATTTTTCAAACGACAAGGATGACCGATTATCCTATAGTGAACTCTTGGAGTGACTTCAATACATGACTGAAGTTGTCTTCCCAGCTGTGAGCGCTAAGTCGCGTGCCATTTAGAAGAGAATGATTGAGTGATTCAACAGAGCGGTACTGCGCAATGAGTTTCCGAATGGAGCCAAGGCTATGACTCTCGATCCTATCTTGGGTAATAAATTGACGCTGTTGTGCGTAGAACCACAGACAGTGCGTATGTTTTGAAGGACGGCACTGGCGATTTGCTTCAACGCCAATATGCCCCTATGCTCCATCCCAACTCAAACTCGTACTCGACGACTATGACGACACCACTAACGAAGTAGAAGAAATTCTCGAACATCGGGATGATTCTGAGGGGGGGGCGTGGAATATTTCGTAAGCTGGAAAGGGTATACATAGAGGACCTGGGAACCAGAAGAGAACTTTGTTGAGAGAAAGTGTATCAGAGACTACAGGAAGAGTCGCAATCTCCCTGCACCACCTTCTCGACCGCAGCCTCGTTAAACTTTGAGGAGCCACAAGGCGAAGCAGAATCAGCACGTAAAAATAATATGAACAACTCTGCTGATAGTGTAACTACTCCGAAACCTAAACGCGGTCGCCCACCAAAGGTCAATATAAGCGCAATTGATCGAGAGCTACCCCGCAAACGAGGACACGGTAGGCCACGAAGCAAATCAGCGAGCAGAAAGTAGAGGAGTATGAGAAGGGGGGTTTTATGTGCTTTTCCCTTGAACCACGACAGAGGTTTTCCTTCGGGCTTTCCCTCGCAAGGCCTTTTTGCTTTTTGCCTTGTAGTGATTATTACAATTGTCATGTAGAGGTTTTAAACCTTTCTTTTTTTATAATTTTGTTTACCTTGAGGTTTTCACTTTTTCCCCCAGACCGTAATCAATCAGCCCAATATTATTAGCCGCCCTCAGTTCTAAAAATCGTGCACGATGTTGTCTGCGATGTTGTTCTCGATGTTGTGTTAAGGGGGGGAGCGGACGCTGTTCGTGTAACATCGTCGGTTGACATCGTGGACTCGCCAAAAAGGACGATGTTTAGGGCAAAATCGTCGACATCAGGTTCTCACACCCTAGTCAAGCTCAACGTCCCACTGTTTTCGCTTCCTGTTCTTCATTCATCGCACACCCGTCGCCATCCCCGCAACCCATGTCGCAAGAGCAACGTACTGTTACCAATGAGGTTGACTCCAGTTCTCCTTCTTCCCCTCCCCTCACTCCCCGCCCACCTGAGTACGACGTTTTACCTGCGCCTACCATCAGCAGGGCAGAAGAATCTGACCCCGAGCAGGAAACTCCATTGACCCGCTCGAGCATTCGATCTCGTCGTCTCTATCATCAGAATGGAGCAACAAACCAAGACTTTTTTCGAATGAGCAGACGACCTCAACAACAGCAAAGTCGGCAGCAACTCTCTGACGATCCTGTTCGCGACGTTCTACATCATCAGTCCCAGCTACGGCAACCACCACAGTCACAACACCAACAGCCTCAACAACACCAGCAGCCTCAACAGCCTCAACAGTATCAACAGCATCAGCTGTACCCAAGGAACCAACAGTACCAAGAGCAACTGCATCGAAAGCAGCAGTTTTCTACTTTGGAGCTTCTTCGGCTGCAGGCCCTGAGTCAGGTAAATAAAACACGCGACACCTTTTCTCTTGTCAGACTGTAGCCTCGTTGCAGATGGTGACAAGCGTCTCTTTTCTAGCATTGCGATAATCCCTTGTTCCCC